GCGTGTCTCTTTAAGCTCTCGGGGGCTTCTCGCAAATTCGAGACCTTGCACGCCTCTCCGAGAGAAGTCCCCGAGAGATGCGCGATCGACAATTATAAACATAAAACAGAGGAAACAAAGCGAACAAAAAATGCCCTGTCTCCACTGTTTACTCATTTGATCGTCACGGCGAAAGTCACGGCGATAACGCTCAAGTCTCGGTGCTCGCAATTGCCGTGCTGAAACGCTAATTTGTATTTTCGACTTCGCTATCGTTAGAACCGTTTAAGCAATCTTAAACATACCGCCCGCCTCGTCAGAGGGACTGACGACATAATCGCGGTACGATAATTAGCGTAGCGTACGATACTTAGTTATTTACCGATGACACGCGGATCCGCCGACGGGATCTTTGCCTATCAAACGCGCGAGCGAATTTTTACGTCGCGCAGCGTCGTAACGCACAGATACTAGGATCCTCTTCCGGCGGATCTATTGCGCAACATGAATACTTGACTTAAAGTCCGGTTGTACACGAACGCGTCCGTAAGCAGAGCTACTTTAAGACCGCGAATTTTAGGCGTACGTATTACCTTGCTCCCGGGAATTTAATTTTTCACAATGCTTTAATTTATATCGGCGTCGGTAGTCGGTAGAATTACAAGTTTTACAATGGGCCGGGTAAACTCAGCCGCCGCGGTGCGAACGGTGACCACGCGAACGCGTCCGTCCTCTCCCGGATGGACTCGGATGACGCGGGCCAGCGGCCATCTCGTTGGCGGGGTGGCTTCGTTCCGAATGATGCAGAGGCTGCCGACCTGGAGGTCAGGCTTCTGGACAAGCCATTTGGGACGATGACTCAGGGCGTGGAGATACTCTCGAGCCCACCGCTCCCAAAAGTGATCCCGCATCTTCTGCAACAACTGCCAGCGGGATAGTCGATTGTCGGGCGCGTCCAGCAGCGACGGCTCGGGCACCGCCGTCAACGCGGACCCCACCAGGAAGTGCCCCGGCGTCAGCGCAGCCAAGTCGTCCGGGTCATCTGAAAGAGCCTGTAACGGACGTGAATTTAGGCACGCTTCTACCTGGGCGAAGAGAGTGCTCATCTCCTCGTAAGTTAAGGTGGCTTCGCCCAGCACCCTCCAAAGGTGGTGCTTCAGGGACTTGACGGCTGCCTCCCATATGCCCCCGAAGTGGGGCGCGGCTGGAGGGTTGAACCGCCATTTTATCCCGTCACAGGCGAGTTGACTGGCGATCTGTCGTCCTTCCGGATGGCTCGCCGCGAAGAGAGCGCGTAGCTGCGCGTCGGCCCCGACGAAGTTGGTTCCGCAATCGCTGTGAAGGCTGAGGCACAGCCCGCGGCGGGAAGTGAATCGGCGAAGCGCCGCCAAGAAGGCCGCCGCGGTGTAGTCCGAAACGACCTCCAAATGAACTGCTCGCGTGGCGAGGCAGACGAAAACCGCGATGAACGCCTTGTGAGAGCGCTGGCCTCGGCCCTTGGTTGTCCTCAACATAATGGGCCCGGCGTAGTCAACGCCCGTATGTAGAAATGCCCGTGATGGTCTCACTCTCTCGCGTGGCAGATCGCCCATCAGTTGCTGCGGGGTTGCCGCCCGCCAACGCGCACACGTCACGCAACGAAGAATCAGTTGCTTCACTAGAGCGCGGCCCCGCGGGATCCAATATCGCTGACGGATCATCCCCAGGGTCATCTGGACCCCCCCGTGCAACGTCCTCCTGTGGCAAGCGTCCACGGTCAGCCTTGTGAATTGTGACGCCTCGGGCAGGATCACGGGATGCCGTTCGTCGTAGGCCAGGACGGCGTGCTTGAGCCGCCCGCCAACGCGCAGCAGTCCTTGAGCATCTAGAACAGGATTAAGTCTAACAAGAAAATTAGATCTCGGCAGCGAGCGGCCCAGCCGGACCGCTTCCATGTCTCGGCCGAAGTGAATCGCTTGCGTCCGTCGGATCCAACTCAAGCGGGTCTCCTCCAGCTCCTCGGCGGAAAGGTCGTCCCCGTACCCGGAGGCCGCTGACTCCGCTCTTGCTTGACTGCCCCGTCCCCGGCGAAGCCATCGCCGGCACCATGCTGTCACGCGCAGTAGTCGCTGGAGCGAGGAGAAGCGGAGAAGCTTCTCAGGTTCCTCGACCGCGGCAGTCCCTGACACCGCCACGTGGACTCGCACGCGCTCGTCGGGCAGGCCCTCCTTCTCGGGTACGGCTGCAGAAGCAGGCCATGTCGAAGGGTCCTCTTTAAGCCAGGCGGGGCCCTGCCACCAGAGCTGGTGGCCGATCAGCACGCCCGGGGAAAGCCCCCGAGAAGCGCAGTCCGCCGGGTTGTCTCCTCCTGGCACATAATGCCACAGGGCCTCCGGCATCGTCGTCTGTATCTCAGAGACCCGGTTAGCCACGTAGGTCTTCCAGCGGGTCGGATGCCCACGGATCCATCCCAGCGTCACCATAGAATCCGACCAGAAGTGGAAGGTGGCCCCTTGTAATTCGAGGACGGTCTTGGCGTGAGAGGCGAGTTTGACGAGCAGCGCAGCGGCGTTGAGCTCGAGTCGAGCCAAGGTGACCTGCTTTAGAGGGGCGACCTTTGTTTTGGCTGCCATCAAGGTGACTCGCCATGATCCTTCCTCTGTTTCCGCTCGTAGGTAAATTACGGCAGCGTATGCTCGCTCGGAGGCGTCAGCGAAGCCGTGGAGCTCGAGGCCAATCCCCGGCGCGTCCGAAAAAATTCTCCGCGGAACTCGAATCTGCTCCAGTACCGGAAGCTCGGTCTGATACTCCCTCCATCGTCGGGCGTCGTCCTCCGCCAGCGGGTCGTCCCAGTCGAGACCCTGCAACCAAGTGGCCTGGAAGGCTATCTTGGCACGCACCACGACCGGCGCCAGCCAACCAAGGGGGTCAAAGAGCCGGGCAGTGAGCGACAACACTGACCGTTTAGTGACTGACGTCACCGGGCTCGTCCGTGTCGCGAAGGAGAAACAGTCGACGCCTGGGTGCCACTGTAAGCCCAGGATGCCGTGCGATTCCTGAGGTCGCCAAGCGCGAAGCTCGCGCTGCATGCGATGTTCCGCCGGGACTCCCGTCAAAATCGCCTCATCGTTAGCCGACCACTTGCGCAGCGGAAAGCCGCCCGCCGCACAGAGTTCCGTTAGCTGCTGCCGAAGGGCCATAGCCTCTTCGAGGGTGTCGGCGCCCGAAAGTACCTCGTCCATGTAGCGAGCGCAGAACAGCGCTAGAGCGGCCAGCGGGAAGCGTTCCTTTTCGTCTTCGGCTAGCTGAAGCAAAGCACGAATAGCCTGGAAAGGAGAACAGGTTAGCCCGTAAGTAACGGTGTTGAGAATATACTCCCGTATCTTCTCGTCTGTGTGGTACCGCCACAAGATCCGCTGAAGATCACGATCTTCCTCGTGAACCAGAATCTGGCGGTACATTTTTTCCACGTCCGTGGCCAGGACGTAACGGTAACGACGCCAGCGCAGCAGCACGTCCGCGAGGGCCGGCAGCAGATTCGGTCCCGCCCGTAGGTACCGATTTAGTGAGTCGCCCGAAGGAAGCGCCGCCGAGCCGTTGAACACCACGCGCAGCTTCGTCGAGGAGCTTGCCTCCCGCATGACGCCATGGTGTGGGAGATAACACGCTCGGCTCTTCGCGATCTTGTCCGGCGCGACGGGGGTCATGTGGCCGAGTTCCTCGTACTGCCGCATGAAGTCGACGTACAGGCTCTTCAATTTCTCGTCGCGGGAAAGCCGCCTTTCCATCTGAGTTAGCACCCGTAGCGCGTAGTTACGCGTTCCCCGGAGATCGGGCAGCGGATTTACGACGGGGAGTCTCACGACGAATCGGCCCTCCGCGGTACGCGAATGGGTTCGTGCAAAAAAGTCCTCGGCCTCCTGCTCCTCCCTGGTTAGCGCGGGAGGGCCGACGGGCAGTTCCTCCTGCCGCCAGAACCCCTGCACCAGAGCGGAGAGCTCCGCGTCAACGTGGCACTGGTGCGCTACTGCGGCCTCCGGATTCGCCACCGCTCCGGCGGCTCCGGAGATGATCCACCCTAACGCCGTCTTCTGAGCAACAGGCTCGTGTGCCCCGCCCTTGAGCAGTCCCGGCTGGAGGATCTCGGCGACGACATCGGCGCCCAGCAGGAGATCCACCGGGTCCGAGCCTAGAAATTCGGGATCTGCGAGCTCCAGCCCGCGGAGATGCGTCCACGCCTCTTTATCCGCACGGATCCCTCCACCGTAAAGGGAGAGCCGAGGGAGTATTAAGGCCGACACGGCGATCGACGGCCCTCCTCCCCGGGGTGAGATTTCGAGGGTCACCAGGCCTCGCGCACGAGCCGTCCGCTTCCCGCCAACACCGAATACCGCGACCGAGGCGGGTGCGCGGGACAGTTTTAGGCGCTGCACCAACGATTCCGCGACGAGCGATGACTCGGAACCCTGGTCGATTAGAGCTCGCGCGGTACGCTCGATGCCGAACCGATCACGCACGCGGACACGGGCGGTGGCGAGGAGCACAGCCACTGCGTTCTTGGAAGGTCCTTGCGCGAGATGCGAAGTTGTGGCGACCTCGGTTCCTTGATACGCGTCGTGCAGGCTCGAATGGTGTCGGCCGTCACACACTGAGCAATTTCGTTTCGAATCACACTCGTTTAATTTGTGTTTTCCGAGGCAATTGAGGCAGAGATTATTTGCCTCGACGTGCTGTTTTCGTTCCGCGGCGGTTTTCCCCTTATACGCGGCGCAAAACATAATAAAATGTCCCTTTTGGCATACGGAGCAGCGACCGAGTCGGTTTTCCTTTGCTTTTGCATGCAAGGCTCGCGTTTGCTGCGCGGAATTCCCCCCGGCCTTCGCGGAAGTCGCGTTCTCCGGTTTCGCCGGCTGGAGCGATTCGAGAGTATGCAGGCGTCGGTCCAGAAACTGCTGCAAAACGGCGAACGACGGCGGATCCGGCGTTTCGCTGACAGCGCTCTCCCACTCGCGACGCGAACGCGGGTCGAGAAGATCTACGACGAGATGGACGAACAGGTCCTCACTACGCGAAATCGGCCGCCCGATGCTGTCGAGAGCGCCGACAGTGCTCACGACTCGGTGATACACTTTGCGTAACTCGGATACTGACTCACCCTTCAGTTTTTGCAGCGACGTAAATTGAGCGAGGTATGAGCGCACCAGGAGTCGCTTGTTTTGGTAGTAGTCCGTCAAGGTCTTCCAAGCGCGCTCGAAGTTCTCGTCCGTCGTGGGCAGGCTGCGCACTAGGAGTTCCGCCTCCCCCATTAAGCACGACTTCAGGTAGTGTAGCTTCTCAACTGGAGTCGTGGCGGCATCCTTCCCGATTATCGAATGAAATAGGTCACGGAAGGCGGGCCACTCTTCGTATTTGCCCTCGAACTCTGGCAGCTGAATGCGCGGCAAGGTCGTACGAGGCGGGTTCGTCCCGGCAGCGGCTGGTGCGGGAGCGCCTTCCGCTTTACTCTTGAGCTTGCGGAGCGTCTCGAGGAACATGCCCTTTTGCTGTATGTAAGCCTCCTCCGCGGTAGACGGCACGTCCTTCTTCTCGTAGTCATGATCCGCCAGGATCTCCCAGTAGCCGGCATATATTTTCTCGTGCTGCGCCTCGAATTTCGCCCAGTTGGACTCGAGGGCCTGCAAGCGCGCCTCCACCAACCCGATGGTAATATTCGGTGTTCCCACTTTCCTCAGGTTCTCGTACGAGCGAGCAATGCGCCCGTAGAGCTCATGTTGGCTGCGGATAAGTCCTTCCATCTCTCTATTCGTCTCCTTGGAGACAGCTCCTGCCATTTCCCGGGCGTTTTCCTTACTCATCGTCTCCCCTCAATGTTATTTGACGGAACGTGGAGGTAGGTCACTTAAGCACTCACTCACAGCCCGAGCGCAGGTCACAGAATCCGGCTCGAAGGACCATAAATGTTCGAAAGCGGACCGCGCGCGCGAGCGAGGAAACGAACCGCGGATAGGAGGAGACAGTCAAAGCGCAGAGTTAACGGACAATCACAGTTTATTCGTCTATTTACACTATTTACAAGAGCTGAATCGCAATTATAACGAAGGAAGCGATCGTGTCGCGAAAGCGTAAGAGCGAAAGTTAAGCGAGCGAAAGAGAGAGCAACTCTAAGTACTAAGCGCGCAAAAGAAACGGAGCAAGCAACTCGAATTATTGACAGCGGCAACTCGGAACGCAGAGAGCGACTGGCCCCGTTGCCAGGGGCGCGTGTCTCTTTAAGCTCTCGGGGGCTTCTCGCAAATTCGAGACCTTTCGATACACGCCTCTCCGAGAGAAGTCCCCGAGAGATGCGCGATCGACAATTATAAACAAAAAACAGAGGAAACAAAGCGAACAAAGAATGCCCTGTCTCCACTGTTTACTCATTTGATCGTCACGGCGAAAGTCACGGCGATAACGCTCAAGTCTCGGTGCTCGCAATTGCCGTGCTGAAACGCTAATTTGTATTTTCGACTTCGCTATCGTTAGAACCGTTTAAGCAATCTTAAACAGCTCTGTATGATCAAGGGCCGATTTCACATGCTTACTCCGCTAGGCCCTTTACTGAAATTTCTACTGTAATTTTTATAATTTTTTGTAATAAAGATATTGTTATCAGCCAAGGATAGTAAGAATGTGTTAAATATGTAGAATAATGTAGTAAATTATTTATAATTTTATTTCTAACTTATAACCTGTCAACTAAATTTTTATTAGAAATTGGTTTCTATGGATTGGTACCTTGGAACATGAAGGTTGATGTACTTTGAAACGCTATTTCAAAAGTATATTAGCTGATTGTTATCTTTATATAATTTTTAGTTAATTGTTTTACTACAATTTTTTTCATTTTTACTGACAGAGTAATTGGAAGCTATTTGTTTTATAGCTTGCCACGTAGTAATTAAACGTAGAATAAAAAAGCTAAAGGATGCCGAAACTCTGATATCTGCTGTAAATACAGAAATTATCTCACTGAGAGAAGCAACAAAAATATATAACGTTTATAGTTTTTAAATTTTAGAAAGAAAGAACTGGTTTTTAATTTGTAAAGATAATTTTCTTGAAAATAAAATTGTATACAAAAAAAATTTATTTGATATTTTTGATTAATTTTTATACGCAAAATTATTTTTTCTTGATTATGTTACAAGTTCCAACATAACTTCTAGGGAACAATTACATATTAATGTTTGTATTAGAATTTTTATTTTAATACTATATATGATATACAGGGTGTTCGAGTTAACCTGTCCACGCCTAATCTCGAAAACTATCAAAGTTAAACGAAAAGTCAAAAAAGCCCTTTAAAGGAATTACTTTGAGATGATTTTCAGCGATAGAACTGTACCCTTCCGTCCTGGATTTCGAGGATTAAAAATAGTCTACAAAGAGTACCGATGATCAAAAATTCACTACGGTCATAATTTTCACGATAAACATATAAAAATAAAGGTCATTAGATTTGTCTTTTCAAGCCCTATCGATTGGTGTTATTTTTGTAGAGGGTTTTTATTTGAAAAATTTGACCCCTTTTTACCTTCTTGAAACCCAGTATGGAAGGGTACAGTTCTATTGCGCTGAAAATCATCTAAACATAATCTCACTGAAAGACCTTTTTTGATTTTTCGTCTAACTTTGATAGTGTCCGAGATATCGGCGTAGACAAATTAAATCGAACACTCTGTATATTGAATTCTTAAAATATAACGCACTAACCATGTTAATTTTTTGATAATTATTTTTAGAACGAGGTTGTCCCGCAGCTGTGTTACGCATGTGGGACTCGTTAACGTCTGCTCCACGCGAACTTTGTGGCGTTAAAAATCCTGAAGATAAATGGAGTTATCTTTCGGATGATAATAATATGCGACTCAGGTTTGTATACGCTTTATATGAACAATAAGGCTTTCAGACAGGCGCTCTTAATATATTTTCGCATTATATTCACAGTTTTATATCAGCTGATAAAGCAGTAGGACAAGACGGTTTTCGAGCAGTGTGGACCGAAGTAAACACGAACACAGACTGCGAGAATAATCAATTTCAATGCAAAAGTATAAAATACTGCATCAATGAGTCGCTGCGGTGCAATAACATTGATAATTGCGGGGCAGACGATTCGTCGGACGAGGAGAACTGTAAGTTTCGTTAACGTTAGAATGCAACGTGTATTAACAGAAGCAAGCATTTCGAAAAGCAATGTGATTCGGTGTTTTACTCTGCTTCTATTATGACTTATATTCTCTCTCTTTCTTTCTTCCTCTCTCTCTTTTCTCTCTCTCTATACGTGAACTATATTCTACTCTATTATTCAGTGTAATCTCCTATGGATTGTTCAATAGATATATTCTACAAAAATTTTCAGCTGTATTGTTTCTGTGTACCGTAATACCTTTTCAAAACAATCCTTTAACAATATCGATAATTTTTTATTTATCTCTACCACGATGCAGATTAACAGCATCACAACTCGTTTACAATCAGCATGAATAACAAAGTACTTAATTTATATTAATCAAGTAAAATAACGTACGTTTTCAATTATTTAAATGTAATTATTGTTATACCTTTTTTTTATCACATTTAAGAATAAATAAATTGATAGCTTAGCTTAATACAAAATAAATATAAATTATGCAATATTAAAATAAATAATCATATCAATAATAAAATCTATCACGAATATACAATACAGCGATGAGAGTATTTTTAAATATTATAGAATATATTTTGAATTATGTAAATTAATAGAACTATAAAATCTGTATTTCGTATGTTACACGGATATATATCCACATATGTGTAAAGACAGAATAATGTTGGAAATTACATCGATAAATGCAGCACGGAGTCATTTATTATTACGCCATTCATTTCACCAGGAAATATTACATACTCGGGAAAAAATACCTCTTATTTGTTTATATTAGTTCATATTAGTAGATATATAATTATATATGGTCATATAAAAAATGGAAATATAATCTTGAACAATATGTTACGTCCAACCCCAAGATTAGGATAAGAAAAACTGGATTAGGATAAGAAAAAAGTGAAGGAAAGGCTAACTAGAGGGGTAGGGGTAAGGAAGGACGCAAGCAGATACTTTACTCTGTTGCTCGTAGGTACACGCACTGAGGCGCGAGCCGAACGCACTTTCAATGGCTCAGGATTGGTCAACGTCCGTAAGAACGTTAGGACACCTTCCGTGAGCGGTGCGATCGTCGGTTCTGTTTTGAGTCAGGAAATTTAATTTCTTTAACTCAGGATCGGACCTTGCGATTTCGAGAGCGCAATGAGTTGTTACGTCCTGAGGACTTCGTGATTTCCTTCTTTCATAAAAACCTTTCGTAAGATGTTTTTTTTACAGAATTATTTTTGGGATGACCGAATTATATTTGTTGATCGGAGAGCAGGTTACTAATAATAGTGAATCACCTTTCTTCCTGACATCAAAATCAAACAAATAAGTATATTAATTGTGAAACCTGCGCCGGTCAATAGTAACGTCGAGCCGTCATATGACTCCCAGAAAAAATTCGTGAAAAACACTTCACGTTAGACAATAACAGATTAACGCGAGACAATAGAAATTTCGAAATCTAGTGTCTCGATCCGTGAGAAAAACGTGTTTTTCGATCGATGACTAATGAAAGTCATCATCGGAGTGTTGTGCCCGTAGCCGTGAAGAAGGGACTTTGTCGGGATGTAGGCGCCCAAAGGATTAGGATCCACGCACTAATAAACGACACTCCGTACTTTACAGTAAAAGTACTGTATTTGCCCTCACTTTATTACAAAAGGTTTAAATAGTAACTTAAGTTAATTCGCGTTAAGTAGGATGCGTGGTTACTCTCAGAAGCGATCTGTCTGATCCTATCGCTATTGACATATATATCATTTCATTAAGGCGGAAGGAGTGCGGTGACCCTGATCGGAGCACGTACGCTGCTCCGTATCTGTTCCGCGCGACTCCGCTGCTGTCTCAGCATTCTGAAAACAGAACTGTGACTGGCTTTCTTCTCGTCACATTCCTTTTTAATAATTTAATAATTTAACTTATATTAATATCTTTCTTTTCTACTTTGATCACGTATTGATTCTTAAACGTATTGTTCTTATTCCCAAAAGCTGGTCGGGCTACAACAGAAGAAACAAGTTAATCACCAAAAGGTTGAGACTTATTACTTGATAATCCATCCTTAAAAAATCAGGTAAAAGTTTACAATAACTTACACAGCTCGGACTACTTTGACCTTGACATATGTTGTCAAGGACATAATACTGAGTAACATTTCCTTATAACTTAGTCGGCGGTCGCTGCTTATTAAAAAGTTATAAACAAAAAAAGTTTGAAAAATATAGCAGCTATTTTGA